GAGGTTTCTTCCGTTAAAGGGAGTTTGTCCTCCCCACTGTCGCCAAGTGCTTGCTCAAGGGGGATTTGTTGGGTTTTCCCTATGTAATAATATTGATAACAGTAAGGTCTAGACCTTACTTTGTAAAGTGTCCTGAGATGACTTTTGTTGTGATTTGGCGCTATACAAATAAAATTGGATTTGATTTGATTTGATTTATTGTTGTTGGCCTTTATGCCTGTTATTCTTATTTTAAGTCTGTTTCTGTATTTAATTGTGTAACGTACTTTGGTCAACTAGACGTTTTAAAGTGCTATATGAATTTGATTTGAAAGTTTAGATGATGTTTTATTTGCTATCACATATATTCTGTTTTGGGACACACTTCATCCTTTCTGTGTTTTTTGTGCAGGTGCACTTGGTTGGTATTGACATCTTCTCCGGTAAAAAGTTTGAGGATATTTGTCCCTCCACCCACAACATGGACGTGCCCAACATCAAGAGAATGGAATTCCAGGTGAAGCAGCAGGAGGACACATGTGGTCTTGTCTTACTGTAGCCTGTTTCCTACTATGTTGTAAACGCTCATGTAAGGGTGTGGCTACCTCTTCCTAACCATAGTGACACCAGGAGCCAGAAGCAATTCAAGTAAAAGGTTTCCAATACACAAACAAGCTAACAGATGAGCTACCCGATTTAAGGAGCTGTCTGGGGCGATTACACTTCATTACTCTTCTTCTTCATTACACTGTGTTTGTGAAGTGAGCCTCATATTCAACTACAGAGGTTGCTGAGAGCGAGGACTACTGATCCAACCGGTCGGACTACAACACACGGCATACTGTAGAATGCTGCCAAACTGAAAGACGGTTGTTTCAGTAATTCCTGTAGAAGTGAACCCATACAGTCTTGGTGCTTCCATATCCTAATGCTGGGAAGTTCATGTCTGAACATGTGTCCCACATGAGTCGACACAGTCACAGCATTAGCGTTAGGAGTGGAAACAGTTTGAATCACGTGTACCTAACAACCACCAGTTAATTCACTGTGTAAAGTAAACGGAAATAGAAAAGTCTGTACTCTATTTGGTCACTCTTCTCTGTTGTTTCCCCTCTCCCAGCTGATTGGGATCCAAGAAGGCTACCTGTCCCTGCTCGAAGACAATGGCAGCGTGAGGGAGGACCTGAAGATTCCAGAGGGAGACCTGGGCAAAGAGATAGTGCTCAAGTACGAAGCCGGAGAGGAGATGATGGTCAGTACTGTCCCATCAGCATCCACTCTGTTCTGCTGGAGTTTTATACTACCTGTAAACTGAGAAACAACACATAGATTTTAGATATCAACCAAAGGCCTTGTCCTGACATCTCTGTGCTCTTTCAGATCACCGTTCTAAGCGCGCTCAATGAAGAAGCTGCAATTGGCATCAAAGGCATGACGAAATAAGCCACTGCAGGTAAATACAGAGCCACAGCTGCTGGGACAAGCTGTCCTTTCACCCTCCAGCTACCGCCTGACCCAAGCCTGCCTCAAGAGCAGTGTGCGTTCTGTACAATTATGTATTTCACCACAAGCCGCCAGCATGTGCCATGCCAGTGCAAGTGTGTGTGATGTCATGTACAGTTTATTGTTCATCAGTGGGGAAGGGGGAGGCAACTCCAGTCAACACAACAAGGAGGAGGTTTGATGTTTAATTTGACCTTTTACAGAGAAAACATGCCATTTTAAAAGGTTATTTACATTAATGCATATTCACTGTACTGGAAAGAATCATATTTTTACATATTACTCATTTGTTTAACATATATTTGTGTGAACTGGATTTCAGTGATTTGTGATTGATCTCATTCAATGAGTGTATTCAAATTTTTAAGTTTTTATGAAGAGCTGGTTGCTGAGGAGTGTGTTACTGTGGGCTTGCCTACCCCTTAGTGTTCTTTTTGTTTCATGTTAACACTATTAAGAGCATGTGTATCATTTATATGTAGCACTATCAGAAATAAATGAAAGCCTGTGGTTCATATTGTTTTTGTTGGAACATTGTTGTGTTTTTCCTGTGGTTTGCACTTCATTTTACAGCCAGTGGTTTCCTGCATTTCCTATTAAGAAACAGTTTTGTTGTGACTGTTGGGTCAAAGCGATTTTCTGCGACTTTTGTTTCCTGCATTTCAAACTGTGGGCTGTAGAATAAAGTGTCCGCAGACAATATGTTGGCTGTGCAGACGCTGGTTAAAATGCTTAATCTCTAATTAAAAAAATGTTTCTCTTGTTTATTTTTCTTCTCAAACATCTTCCTTCTCTGGTTTCTGACTTTTCTTTCCTCTTTTTTTTTTTCTTGATCCTCCCCTTTCAGTTGTGTTTCAGGGGCAAACAAGATGCACTGGACCTGGGAAAAAGGAGGGGATATTGCCTCGTCAATGATATTCTCCCTCTTTTTTTCTTTTTCACACTTACTCGCTCTGTCCCTCACCCTGTTTTCTGACCCTCCTGCGGGTTCACTTAGAGAAGAACTTTAATAAAGAATTGGAAATGTCAAATGGTAGAAAAATATTCTCTATGTATGTGCACACATAATAAAACCACATCTGAATCTGGACATATAGACGAAATAACGAGCGAGTAGGACTACAAATATCAGTAGCTACCTACCATCCATGCAAAGGAAAGTGGTGATAATGTTACGACTCTTGTTTTTTTTTTTTTTTTTGGTTTTTGTTTTGTATGTTCCCGTTTTATTAAGGGCTTTACCTTTGGATTAGCAATGTCCTGATGAGGTGCGTTCAGCCTGTGTGCCATACAGGACTCAGTACTAGGTTTTGTCTTTTCTGTGTGGCACGATGAACAGCCCTCCCTTCTGTTGTTTAAGCTTGTCTAGCAAACAAAGATTAGCAAAATGACATACCGAGGTTGTTTCTTTTTGTCTTAAGGCATAAAAATTGTCAAAGAGAAACAAACCCCTGCTTAAGAACACACACATTCTCGTGTTTAGAGTCCATGAACCAAACCTCAGCATACGTTGATTCACTTGAAGTCTTTTTGTGGAAACCTTCAGATGGGTCCATCACACAGAGCTCTTTGGAGAAATGACTGGAGTATTATTTGGTGTACTCTCAAACTTGAAGTGAGATTCAGGAGGCAGACAATTTGTGGCAGTTTGGTATCCTTACTTTGTGTTCATACAGCAAGTCCAAACTGAGCAGAATGTCTCGGTGGCCAAAAAATAAAGATGATACAAACTGTTGGGTGTGGCTTGTGTTTACTGTTTTATGTGGCAACATAAAAGCTTTGAAACAGAACAGATTTAAACTTAATTTATGCTGCAGAGGACAATGAAAAAAGTAACTTTTCCAAGAACGTGGTCATCTTGATCTAATCTGTGGTGCCAAACTAACAGGTCTAAATTGATCAACCAGAATTCAGCAGCACGTTTAAAAGGTCTCTGTTAGACCAATGTGTTTCTGCTTTAGTAGTATTCAGTCTGCGTGTGACCTCAGTGGAAACATTTTGATTTAATCCACATGCTTTAAATTCAACCACCAAGTTCTGCTGAACATTTTCCTCTAACCTGGTTTTGGCTAATTGTTAGTGAGCCAAGTCTGCAGACACTCAGCACTCCGCTGATGATGATGTTGGTATACAACAACAACAAAAAAAGCTCAGGCTCATGTGGTGTGGGTTAAGATAACACTTTAGTGCACACAAGCACCTGCAGAATGGCTTTACAGTGTAGGAAAAATAATAAGCTATTTTACAAATTAATATTAAATGAAACAGCTGATCGCTGATTAATAATGTCAATACACAGATTAAAAACAAGATACTATACACAAAATAAAAACAAATATGGCATCATTCAGCCTGACTCTTGGAAGAGGTCCAGTCCATCACTCACTTCAGGGAAACTGAAATCTCAGCAATGCTGAAGGTGAACGTAGCTGAGTTACTTGCCATGGTGGTAGAACCTCTGCCCGCTCTGGCTGTGGGGGAGGAAGCCATGACGAGAGGCCCCCTGCGGAGAGCTCTGGAATGAGGCCTGGTGAGGGAAACATGGAAAACCAAGGTAAAGTCAACTGTCAGTGTTTGGTTGTATAAGCATTTCTAAATGGAATGAACATGATAAACAAGGTTTATCGTGTATAGAAGGTTGGAAATGTGGGAAATGATTTCCAAATAAAATGCAGGCAACCTCCAAGTCTTTGTACACATAATACACAGCACAAACTGCTTGGATGGATATAAAATCTCAGCCTTACACATGAACATATGATTTGTAAACAAGAAGTATACTCAAGAAAAATAAAAACAACTTTTAGAAAGTGGACAAACGTATCTCTAGAAATTCAGAGATGTTTTGTTAACACAGAAAAAAAAAAACATTATTTGAGCAAAGGTACAACATTCTGGTGGTAAACAACAAAAAAAAAAAAAAAACAAAAAACAAAAAATGAAACAACAGTGCCTCAAGCCAGTGGTCATGTGTATTCAGCTTCAAAGTCTCCAGCTATGATAACAGCCCTGTCAGGTTGTACTGATCATTACAACTGAAAATAAATCAACAACTTTTATATTCTAGGCTTAGTAAGACAAACAATATGTTAAATGGCCTCAGGCTGGTGCCAGGGGAACAATTCTGGTGGTTCACCTTTGCAGTGGGGATCTGAACTGCCAATGATGGTGTGGGCAACAGGCCTGGAGCAGAAGGATGCATGGCTGGGGGGTGCATAGGCCTCAAAGCACCCTGACAAAACACCAATGAGACACAACAAAACATTATTCTCATTTACACAGGAGGATGAATTGAAGTGCGAGGCAGGTAAATGAGTGGTACACTAGCTGCTTAAACCTAACAATCAACAGCATACAAATTAAGCTCATATTGTTTATATATTAGATCTTGAACAAAACTACAATAAAGCATCGACATTTCAAATGTTCTTACTGCATCAGTAAAGCCTGACTGTTGATTGGCATGTTCCAGCTGCTTCTGAAGGGGGATTCCTGCTCCAGGGATGTATCCTGCAGGAAACACAAAAGTTAGCATTTATGTAGTTTTGTAGTAGGCATGTACTACAAACTTTTAATCCACAGAAAGAATCCAAAAGCTCTGGGAACACCTGAACAATGAGAAAAGAGGAACTGACCAGGCTGAGAGGTGAAGTGACTGTGGACAGGGTAGCCCGGCTGCTGGTGGGGAAGATACTGCATAGCCTGAAATGCAGATGCACCTGAGGGAGAACAGACCACTCGGTCTTACTAGTCTTGCATCCCACTTGGATGAGATTCAAATTATTCCTAACTGACTACAGCACAATAAGCATTAACAACAATATATGCCCGAATAACAGTTATTTGAGGCTGGGAATTCATATCAGGGCTTTCTTGCAAAAGAGATCTTGATCTCAAACAGACTTCTTAACTAAAAGTTTAAGTAATATCCAGATTACAAAATCTGAGGAGGGATCTTATTTTTTTCATCAGGACTGTATGTACATTAGGGAAATTCCTTTTCAATAACTACCTATTTGTGAATGATACAGATGATGTAAGTGAACCGTAATACCTAAACAGACATGTCCTGTACCTCTGATCTGAGAGCTGCTTGCAAAACTGACAGGTACAGATGGTCCAGGGGCATAGGTGGAGGGATGCTGGGCCTGAGCTACGCTGTAGGTCTCATGGACCCCCTGGCCCCCGCTGAACTGCCCGTGCTCTGCTGAGCCTGAACTGAAACCAGGCGTCTGATAGTGGCGTGCCTAAGAGAGGAGAAATAGGAAGACAGGTAAGCGAGGGTTAATTAATGGTGCCTGAATGTATCTTTACTTGACCCAATGTACGTATATAGCTTCATAACTATGGGCATCACTTGGATAACACTGCTACTGAACCAGGTGTACACTGAAAAGCTGGGGCCCTTTATGTAGATTTAACACACACAAAGTAGCCATAGATCAAATATCTTCACATCACTGCAAGGCTGCCTTGTTCAACTCAGAAAATAATGTTCTGATTGACCAAACTAAAACAAGATCTACTCATTGTATCCCAGAAGAAAACCTCAATACACAAAGGGCAAAACTGCACATGATGTAGATATTTTGTGAAAAACAGCCGTTTTGAGTAAAACAGTGAACACTTCTTTACTTACTGGAATCACAGAAGCTGGGAACAGCTGTTTGCTACGTTCTCCAAGCAATGCACCAGGTCCCCTGTGGCTTACTGGACTGCCTAAGAGAGGACAGGGCAAGAATGAGCTGACTGTTGTTAACAACACCAGAAAAAAAGCAAACAAGTTTCCTAGATAACACCAGATAAGCATCTCACCTTGAATGCTGAGGAGGTGTTGCCCTGCATGCATGGGCAGACTTGGTTGGTAACTGGCTGATGTCAGTGTTGTTATATCACTAAAGAAGACACAAAAATGCTACTGAGTGCCCAGAACACTTAGGTTAAAAAAGCAAGCTTTGATATGAATGACCTCCTCAAACAAAATTGAGCCATATCTCCTATTTGAAAACAAACACAGTGACATCCTGGCTACCTCTGCTCCTTTCTGCGTCTCTTTTCCTCTTCATGGAGAACTTTCTTGAGCTGTAAGAAGAGTTGGTGTTTCTCTTCTTGGAGTCCTTGAAGTTTCTCACCCATTTTCAGTACCTGAAGATTAGAGTTGGGACCCATAAATGTTCATAAACGATATACTTTATCCTATTAAATGTTATCTGTGCCAACCAAAGATAAGACAGCAAAGCCACATGGAGCTGGAAGCACTGACTGCAACAGAAACTTCTAAGTGTATTTAGCACCTTTCCACACCTGTTCTTTGGTCTCCTCCAAGGACATCCTCTCTTCTATTTCTTTTGTCCTCTTCCTCTCTTCCTCCTCCTTCATCTTCTGCTCCATCATTTTGTCCACCTCTTCCTCCTCTGAAAAGATGATACTCATGGTGTTCAAATTAAATATTTTAATTTACATTTAAATAAATATCCAAATTCAATCAGATTTCGGTTCTACTGTGACAACTCACCTTGTCTCTTGCGCTCCCTCTCTCTCATGATGTGTTTGTGGAGGGCTCTGGCCATCGCGTTGGACAGCTTGGGTCTCTCCAGCAGGGCAGGCATGGTGACAGGCAGTGGAGGGGCCAGCTGGTGTTGGTCGAAATATGATTTCAACAGTTGTCAAAAGTTACAAGGGGTACCTAAAGTACATTTAGCGGTGTTGAATGATGTATTTGTCTATACAGCGTTAACGTCGTATAACAAGAAAAAACAAAAACACAGCTGTAGCTAAAGGTTAAAGGCCTAACGTTAGTTAACCGCTAAATTAGCAATGTAAGCTGCAGCTTTTGTTAACTTCATCTATTTTAGTATAACTTATTAGCGGTTAAGCTATTGTTTAAAATACATTTGTATGGAGATTTAACTATAAACCAGTGGTCATAATTTTCTCTTTGAACATGGCCTAATGTAAACAGTTAACTAAAAACAGCTAGCTAACGTTAGCTACTTAGTAGCAACGTTAACGTTACGCATTTTATGGCTTCTATTGTATCATTCATTTAACGTGGCATATTAGAAAAAGTCTTACTTTTGTTGTTTTGTAGGTCGTTTCACAAGAATCTACCCGTTTTACGATTTTATAATTGAGGGCCTTCGACTGTTTTTGGATAAAATTAAAAAGGTAAAAATCCAAACTTCACTGCAAAATACAAACAAATGAAGACATTTTGGGCCCGGGTGATAATGTTGTACTTCCGGTGCCAAGCACGGCGTCTTCGGTTCCTCCGAACTGCAGTCTGGGAATAGTAGTTTTTCACGTATTTTGGCCACAAATGTTAAGAACGGGTTTTGACGAGTGGTGAAAATGTCCCTCTTTTTCAGTCTTTAAATCATATCAATGAATTAATTCAAAACTGTGCTGATAGGTAGCTATCTTTCAAAGCATATTTTGAATACTACAAACATATAGGTCACTTATTCTGCCACAGTGATAAAGTTATACATTTTCATAACACAAGCTTGATTTAAAATAAATAAAAGCACTGACACAACTTATGGTTCATTGTCTCACATTAACTCCACCCATATAAATGTCTGTTTTGGCAAGCATATGTAGTCATTTTTGACAATGTCAAATTCTTTGAAACACAATCATTTTCAACAGAATTACTTCATTTTGATTCAGTGCTTAAAAAGACTTGTTTTATACATCAGTCTAGATATCTTGAATGTATTTTAGTCATCTCCTTTACACTGCCTTGCTCCTTCTTGGACAGTACTTGCTTACATCTTGTGCTTGATTTCTGGTCAGTTCACAGTCCAAACCACAACTTTACATCTCAGCATTTACAATCTCTCACCAGGAAAAACAATTAAAAGATGATTCAGTAATCAATTAATGCACATTCTGTAGCAAATATGAGCCAAGATATTAAATAAAGACAAGAAACACTGTTAGCTTTTCATCACATTTTATTATGTATGGTCATGAATGAAGAGAAAGAGCCAGTAATGCAGCTGTATACAGAGTTCAAATCTTGTTTTTAAAAAAGGAGACAAACAAACAAACAAAAAAAAAAAGAAAGAAAAAAGAAAAAGAAAATTGCACTGTTTTACAAGACGATCAAAATTAAGCCATCTAAAAATAAACAATAACCATAGTAGCAGTCAACAGAATAATCTTACCACTGAAAGCAGAGGATGATTATTTAGTCTGAATTCTATTATACTCCTCGCTAGGGTCAGACGCTGAGTAGCACACTCATTTCTCATTCAAAAAAAATTCAGTGGCTGGTGAATAATAAAATTAAAAAAAAGTTTTTTTTTTCCTAGAAGAACTGCTGGAAAACAGTTATCCTTTAATCCACCAGAGATGACAACCTTTAACTGGTGGCTGCTATTTATTTCCTACTCTAAACACAATATACAATTTATCATCCAGCAAGCCAACAGTGAAAAACCAGTAACTATCTTCTTTGTCAGTCAGAGCCAATTTTAACTGATTTCTTCCCTTAACCCTGGAGCAACTATAATTATGGCCTAGTTCTAACATTTTTTCAACACTTTCATTTTTTTAGTATAGTATTATCAATTATGACACTAAAAAAATAACTGGCCATGAGACCACTTAACCGAACTTACTACTGAAGCGGAGGAAAATACAATTCAAACTGTAGAATAATAAAGACGAATAGATGTGAGCAGTGATGAAAGTGCATTTAATATATTTACTCTGGGAGCTCTAGGCTGCTGAGCTGGATTTAATATTTAAATGAATGAAGGGTGGAGGTCTCAGAAAGGAGGGTAGTGGTTGGTGGGGTGTGGTGGGATCAGATTTCCCTTTGGCTGTTCCCATACACACTCTCATCACTGTAAGCAATGTAGAGGAAAAAGTCCTCTTCATGATGTTCCTATGAAAGAGAGTAAGAAAAAAAAATGTTAGCATGATATTAAAAACGTAAAGAGAAGCTTTAGTTTCCTACTTTAATATAAGTAAGAAACAAGAACGCAATATGCTGACAGACTGAGAGCTAGTCAGTAAGGTAGAATCTGAGTACCTGGTACAACAGTCCCATGGTAGCTGAGGTGGGTGGAATGACATTGTTTACAAAGAAGAAGAGAGCATCCTCAGCTCGCAAGTGGATTCTTTTCCGGATGAGGAAGTAAAACTGGCCCACTGATAAAAGAGAATATAAAGAAATGAGAAAATATTAGGTTTGACTGTTACACACAAATGTCTTCAACATTGTTCAGAGACTTGACACATAATATAACGGTTTACCTGTCAGGTCGGAGGGAACAAGGTATTTCTTCTTGTCCAGATCTCCTATTCTGGCTTTTGGGGCTTTCTCCACAATTACCTAAAAATATAAATATATAAAAAAATAAGCAACCTACAAGCTGTTGCACAGCTTGCCCTAAGCAAATGAGTCTAGGTTTTTTCCCCCCACTGAATAAAAGCTTTGTGTATCGAGTACATAAATAGTACGTTTCATCTTTCTCAGAAAAGGGATCTGAGAAGGCACACTGTCAGTCACACAAGCACTGAAATATATTCAACCTAGATGAGGTGTTTGTCTGTCTGAGGCCTATGTTTTAGAAAGAAAAAACTAATTGTAATTGTAGTTGATCAGTTAAAAATAATATTTTACAGTTCAAAAATTAGATCCATTAGAAAGTGAAAATAAAACTATTTTTGTTTCCCCTCTTCAGTCTAAAAATAAAGCCAGGTTATTGTAGAGCTTAAACGACTAAATAAAAAATGTAACAATTTTGACAATCGATTGATTAGACACAAAATCTGATTAAAATCTATTATTGAAAACAGCTGAAAATGAAAGGCAGTGTAACCAGACTGTAGAGACAGTGTCATGCATTACAGAATACAGAAGGCACATACATGTATGGACCATACAATCTTGTTATAAATGTCTGAGTGACAAATGGCTAAAGGCTGTGGCCCATGCAGTCTATCCATAAGTGCCAGTCAGACGTAAACAAGAGCCGTGTTTGCTGAAGCCAATTATTTTAGGATGCAGTGCTGTAAGCATTTCAACAAACAGTCTAAACTATAAAGTTACCCAACTACAGACCAAGTGCACGTCGTTCCCGGTAAGGACCGCCATAATACAACCAGCGAGGTGTTATATACCGTGTTCGGGGCCTTTCTTTATGATTTAATAATGCTAGTTAAAAACTGAAAACACAAGGAGGGACAAGACAGACCTACAGATAGCTGGCCTGTTCAGCGCGCCCGAAATTGTTGGTCAATCTCTAGCGTTGTTAGTTAGCTAATGTGCTGTTTGGAAATATGACAAACAGCACATTAGCATAAAAGATGGGATTAGGCAACTATGAAGAAAATCAATGTTGGTTTAGTGTAGCTACAACTATAACACATAACTGTAGTTGGATTTTAAAAGTGCGTACATTAGCTGTGACTTACGATTAGCGAAACAGAGCTAACGTTACTACAGCTGGAGCTTAGCGTCGTAAAATTGCTAACAACACAGATCGAGCAGCTAAGCTAACGATAGCTACTTACTGGTACCCTGTCCGGATACTTCTTTCTTATTTTCTCGCCTTCGGACCGCCTTTTCTCAAAGGGGTGTTCCTCCTTATACTGAAACTTCATCGTTATAAGAGGTGACAGACAACAAGTCGGTCACTCGGGGTTTTCTTAAAGAACTACTCGAATCGCTGACACACGGCAAAAAACAAACGACGCTAACTAGCATTAGTTCGCCACAGCTGTTTTCCTCTTACGACAGCGGCGAAGGGATACAACAACAACAACGTGACGTAGCGGAGAGTCTACTTTGCAGGGTGTACTTCTCCCTGTTGCAGACCATATTAACGTTGATCGTATAGTGATAATAGCTGTTTATTCAAGTAAAATGACCTCATTTAAAATACATACATTTGGGAGTGGTTTAAGTCCCTATGGTGCCATTTTCCGTGGAACTATTTTATTTTGACCAAGCGCTGCGCGTAAAGACGTAGGGTTGGGCAGTAAGGAGGCATGTCCTTGTCATATGACCGAGGCCCAGCTGTTAGCAGTAACTTACCATGCGCTATTTAACTGCAATTTTGACATTGACAGTCAACGGTGTTAAACATCCGAGTTCAGAAATGTTCAGCCGGCCCTCAATAAAATGGGGATAGTGTAAGTTACAGTGTATTCACTAATTATCGTGCACACGGTGTATTAATAAGACAAATCTCGCGTTTAAGTTCGGCAATTTCCGCTTTGTTAAGGACATATTTCCTCAACTTCCTAACCCCCATATACATTAAATATAAAGAAAAATATCTGACCTACTGAACTGTCACTGAGGAGGAATCATCTCCACTGTCATCAGTACTATGTATTTTAAGGACATCCCTGAAAGGATGCAAATTACAGAGTATTGTCACATTAATTCAGCAGACCAGTGGGTGAAAATGAGCTGATGGACCCCTATAAACACACACAATAAGTAGTAGTAGTAGTTGGCAATGCAGCTTTGCCTTCTGGCTTGTGAGTACCAGTTTTAAGATAACTATTGTATTAGTTTTAGGAATTCACAAGGAACCACTACTCACTAATAAAATGAGTTATGTAATTTAAACTCTAAAGCATGTCTGTATTCAGATATTAGAAAAACATTACTGAAAATATTATCAAGAACATTTTTATCTGACCTATGTTTGCTAGTTAAATTAGGTCAAAGAGTCATATAAAACAGGCTGCCATTCATATGCCTATTTCCTGCATGTAAAAGTTGCTAACCTGTCTATTGTGCGGGGAAGCCATGACTCACTCTACCTGATCATGTGACATCTCCACCTAAACTGCCCTTCATGCTTCATAGTCATACGATTTGTTTTGTGTATGCTGACAATCAGATCACATGCATATACAATGACTCCTGTGTCCACAAAGCACACAGTTGTGAAACAAAGAACCTTTCTACTTCAAACCACAGTGTTAACTGTTCATTTAGGCAAACATTAATGTGCACCAGCTTGATTAGAGTTAAGCCAACATTCAGACAGGCTTATCTTATCTCTTCCATGTCAGGAACTTTAAATTGTAGCTTATACTCTGCTCTTCATGTGGATAGGATTTGTTTTTTCCACTCCCAGGGATCAGAGTAATCATTGTGGGTTTACTTCAGGTATGACACTTTATAAACGGCAGATGTTGATTTTGGATGAAGTAGAGAATGACAGACTCCAGTTTCATCTTTTCAGGCACAACAGAGAATCACTGAGCCCTGGACAGTGTCCTCCCTACATCGACTTTTTCTTCTTCCATTTCAAATTATTTCTCAAAAGCTCTACATCATTAAAGACAAAGTAACATCTACCTCATCCACCCCAAACCACTGATGTGGTCCCAAGAGGTCTGATCACATCTACCTCATCCACCCCAAACCACTGTTGTGGTCAAAAAACTCTCCCAAGAGGTCTGATCGCCAATTCTTGCTCAATCATTGAAGTCTGGGAAGTACCTTGTCCAAGTTGTAGTAATCTCCAGGGAACTCCAAAAACATGTCCAGTAGCTCCTTGCTGCAACTACTACAGGATTGTACTGATTGTACTGCTTCCTTCTCTTTAGCATCCCCCTTAGCTTCATGTTGTCCACTATATAATTTAATGCCCTGCACTTATACTGCCGAAAACACAAACAAGAACACAGGAGGACCCCATACCACCAGTGTATGCTGTGTTTTCTGACTGCACCTAGAAGGCTACCTGAATTATCACCTAGGTGACAGTAAGGGTGATGCATCTTGATACATGTAATAGCATTTGTTTTCAAACTGAAAATATTTTTACTGTTTCAGCTCTGGTGTCCGATAAAACATCTAAATGTCCAAGTGGTCAGAAGAGATAATTGCAGTCATCTTCCAGAGGGATACAAATGAGCTGCCAAGGAAGGTGTAAAAAACAAACAAACAAACAAAATGTCTTTCCTGGAGGTCCCCTTTCCCAGGAAAGACAGTTAGCAAACACAATAGATGAGGTGAAACTTAACAAGGTGGCTGTTACAAGGGCTACTCAAAACAACAACAGATGTGTGCTACTTTGGATCCATCTTCAGGAGGATCAGGGGTGTTAAAACAGCTAATAAATACTGGTATAATCATGGTCCACCAGAGTACAGGAGCCTACTCCTGCACTATAATGACTAAATTTAATAAACAGGCATCTACAAATATAACTGTGCGCACTCACAGCTGTGACCAATCAGAAGTTGCTCAACCACTGACACTGTGTTCAGAAACCTTCCTGCATGACCACTATATTGCATGTTTACAACTAAATTTAATAGTAAGAAAAACATTAACACTTTGTAAACTCATAAAATGGACCTTGCTCTGCTTAAAAAAGTACAAATATTTAGGAAATGTAAACTGGGTGCTGGTAAATGGCAAACTTCTATCTGTTAATGAAGATGATGGGATATGACTGAACTCTGAGGTACAGCTACTAAATCAATGCCAACTAAAACTACATAAAAAATATTAATTTACTTACATGATTAAAAAAAAGGACATTTATCACAACAAATATGAATATCAACACTGACACAAAAATGACACGCTACTAACATCTGGTATGGCAAAATGCCATACCAGACACATATCTAGAACAAGTGTAGCTCCTTCCTGTTTGCCTTAATGCGAAGGCTGAAGATGACACTGCATAACTTCAGGAAGCACAAAAAATATTTTGGAAAACCCTTAACCCAAGGTCTCCTGAGCAGTGTTTGAATGCTGAGTGGACAGTGCAGTTTTGTGTTCCTCCACATGACGGCAGCAGAAGCTGAATCCCTCTCAACTGCTTCGCTAGTGAGGTTAATCGGTTAAGCTGCAAGATGTTAGGCCTCAAATATGACATAAAGACTGCAGAATGAATTGCATTAAAAGAAGAAAAGCGGGATAGTGATACTGACGAGTGTTTTATTAGTAACAGATCTGGAGACAGAACCAATAAGAAGCCGCTGTGAGCCTTGACAAGACTGACATTGTTCAGAAGGCATTTTAAAGATGGAGGTCTAATAGTTGAACCCATACATTAAGGGAAATGAGTAAAAACTGAAAGGGGAAGGCTGCAAATTTTAATCAAATATAAAACCAGCTTCAACAAAAACAGAAGGGGCAAAATTTATGTGCATTTCCTATTAGATGAAATCAGGATGGTGTCAAATATTAAAGGGGGCGAGCAAAATGTCATCCTATCCAGAAGTCATTATCATATATTAGGGTCATAGAGAAACAATCAGGTATGGTAAGGCGGCACGGCAGTCCACATACTGATACAAGCCATTCTTTTTTTCCTCACAACTTTTCAGTCAGGTCTTTATCACAGGGTCCTGCAAGGAGCTTTGGGGAAAAAGTGATGTAATGGCTAAAAGGAAAAAGAAATCTCAGGCTGCTTGGCTACTTGTCCAGAAAAATGGCTGTGGATCGTGTGTTGCAGGCAAACATCCACGAAAGACATCATGTAAGCAGGTCCATTCTTGTTGGGGGAGGAGAAAAAGTACCTCAGTAATTGATTAAACTGAAAAGGGATCATTTTCTAT